CTCCTTTTTTTTCTCCCCCCCCCCCCCCCGACAAAATGTTTTCCCCATTACATTTTCAGCCAAATTGTTGCAACGGCTTTCTTATCTGTCGTTGGAAAATGAATTTCATGTGTTTTATAAAATTGTAAACAAATGACAATTAAAATAAATATTGAATAATTGAATTAAATTGTTTCAACAAAACTGAATAGCCTGACTTCAAGCTGTCTCTTATACACATCTAGATGTGTATAAGAGACAGGTACTACTACTACCGGTACTACTACTACTGTCTCTTATACACATCTAGATGTGTATAAGAGACAGGTATTGTACTCACTCGTGTCAATCCGAGATGGCCCGAGTGAAGTTTCATGCAAATGTTTCGTACGGGAAAAAAATCGCCACCCGGCCTCGGGCGGATTTTTGTTTTCGTAGGATAGTAGCAAAATAGAATAGAATAGAACATTCGTAAGCTCATGCATTTGCACATCCTTATAAATAATATAGTACTTATTTTGTGCAAATCAGCTGCTCTGTTACAGCAGAGCAGCTGTACAGTACACTGCGATACCGGGCCTTGTATTTGAATAAATTTCTCCTGAAATTACCCATTTTCAAGCGCTTAATTAAATATTAAAAACAATATTGGCATAGGACCATAGTTCTAATTATACATTTACATCTGACATTGGGTATCTCCGCCCTTATTTTACTTCATACCTGTTTTAGGTTATTGTTTGGTTACCTTGTTTATTTTCATGTCACCTTATCATATCACTTTATTAACATTACTTTATTGTTATATGCTTTGCTTTTCAATTGATTTTACTTACATTATTGTTTAATTTAATCATTGTCTGTATAATAGGCCTATTTATGTTAAAATAATCCTAAGACCGGACTGAGAGCCAGAGTGTTTTTCACACTATAGTTAATGCTAGCCAACTTAGGTTATATATTGTCTTAGTTTTTGTTAAATTTCCTTTCATTGTATGTTATTTCATGACATGCAAAAATAAAACCAGTGACTGATTTGACGATTCTGAACTTTCATACATTAGCCTACATTTCCTACTGTCGGGAACACAATTACGTGATAATAAACATCAGACAGAAAGAGGTGGAAGAGTTTGAGGATTGGTATAATACAGTATGTTCAACCTGGGGCGGATGCAGGATTTGACGGTCGGGCGTACGTGAGGGTCCACCTCACTGCCCCCACCATGTTGGGCCGGGGAATAGAACATTTTGAGAATAGGGACTTCTCAGGCGCGGATCCAGAGTTTTAGTTGGGTTTCCATAGAATCGCTCAGCCTATCGGCGACAGTCGTGTGACACTGGCTCACAGACGAATCGGGGTGTCCTTCCGATTGCGCAGGGCATGCATCTAGCAAATGCACCCTGATTCGTCTGCGTCTGCAACGCAATCGGAAAAGTGAACCAGCTTCAACCTGACAACTGTCGGCGACTATCGCCGATAAGGTGAGCGATATGGAAACCAAGCTTTACCCTGACTATTGCACATAAGGCCCCATAAAAAAGTATTAGCCTAAGTATGTCACCCTATCAAAGAATAAAAACTGATGAGGGAGGGAGGTTTTTTTTTTTGTTTTGTTTTGTTTTGTTTTTTTTTTTTGCTAACCCCGCCCCCATTTTACCGATGTTCGCAAGTAAATCAATGGTTAAGGACAAATTTATAAAAAGTCATTCAAAAATGGAATCAAATTTAGGGCCTATATTAAAATAGATGTTTTCGTTGTACCAGTAAACATATTTGCAAGAAATTCTGATGTTTCAAGTGAAAAAAGATGGAAAAACGAAAAATATATGACATGTTGATTGAAAAAAAAAAAGAATTTTCCCAAAAGTGATGAGGGAAGGGGTGATAACTAATAAATTTTTTATGAGGCCTAATGGGGGTCACTCATCAGTGGGCGGGGTCATGGGAAGAGAACGTAATGTTTGCTTGTTCCGTCGCTGGAAGACTAGGGATTTTTTGGGGGGTGGGGGGGGGGGGGGGGGGGGGGTGCTTCGCGGTGGTCTTGGGGTTCTCCTAGCTTCGGAAAGTTTTGTTTTTTCTAGATGCTGAGAAATGTACTTACTTACATGAGACGTCTATTGATGAATGTAGGCCTACACACTGAATTAATAGTTCTCCCCCATTTTACCATGGACTGTTGATGATGATGATGGTGTGATGATGATGATGATGATGATAAAGAGGAGGGGGAGGAGGCATCATAGCAGGTGATGACAGGCTCCTGTGCAAGGGTAATTTACAGGCCCTTTGATAAGAGTGTCAACCGAGGCCTATGGATATCCCGAGTTCGTCGTCACATTTTCATAGTAATAATCTACAATTTATCAGTACATTCTCGACTGTCATGAAAATATCATATGTCTAAAAAATTACGTTATATCCAAGCTCGGAAGCGGAAAGTTTAACTGAAAAGTTTGATAGGCCTATATGTTTCGTGTTGTTTCTTGAATGGTCTTTAATGATATGACCACAACATAAGGAAGAACACTTTGTCACCTACAAAGTTCAGACCCATACATTTATATTTCTTTAGGCCTAAATCAAGGAAGTCCGCTCTATATCCAACTTTCAGGAAATTATACGTTTTCTGCATGTACGACGTGGAAATTTTGTTAGGCATAGGACCTATGTTGTTTGTTGAATGGTCTTCTTTAAAAATATTAGTCTAATATGACCACAACATAAGGAAATTCATTCTTTAAATGTTTAATAAATAGTACAGAGAATTATGATCGTTTATCAAAATCATTATACACATGTTAAATCCAATTGAAAAAATAAATAAATACAAAAATTACGTTTTCAGTGCACGCACCGACGTGGAAGGATTAGGCCTAACCTGATGATCTTATAACCACAACTTTTAACTTTAACGTTTTAAACTTTTATTTGTACATAAGCCTATCAAAAATGTTATTAATGGCCATTGCTTTCCGATAATCTCTCAGTACATTATTTGCATCTGTTGTGTAACTGTATTTGTATTACTGATTTTTTTCTTTGGGGCCATTTTTACCTTCTTGTCATTTGGGGCCATTTTTACCTGGGCCATTTTTACGGGGACCATTATTACAGGGGTCATTATTACCGGGACCATTTTTACCTGGGCCATTTTTTCCTACATTCGAAACTTTTAGGGGCTTCGCCCCCTGGATCACTTTCGATATATTTTGAGCAATGAACTCCCAACTACGCTACTTTGATCTCATCCGTCATGACGTCATCTGCAGACGGATCCGAGAATTCGCAATAGGGGGAGCAGGGAGGGGCTGTCACAGATGTCAGGGACGTAGCCAGGGTTTTGAAATGGGGGAGCCGTTTATGCGAGATACGTAGCACCCCGGTGTGGTCCATTGGGGAAAATGGGGCTTTTGAACGTTTTTACTCGTAGAGTAGTAGTACTACTACTACCGGTACTACTACTACTACTACTACTACTAGTAGTAGTAGTAGTAGTAGTAGTAGTAGTAGCAGTGGCGTAGAAAAGTATTTTTTCATTGGGGGGGATGATTGGCGTGTTAGTCAGTGGTGGGGGAGGGGGCAGACTGCCCCTCCCCTGACAGTTTTTACCGGGCTGACCAAGCCGTCGTACCGGGCTGGGTAATAAGAGAAAAGAAAGAGGGGAGGGGGAAGAGAAATAAGTGGAAAAGAAAAGGAAAAGAAAAGAAAAAGAGAAGAGAAAAATAAAGACAAGAATAAAAAGGAAGATATCATAATGATCAGACTCACAACACCCTGCAACCCCTTCTCCACTTCAAAAACTGTCATAACTCCTTGATCTATGCTGCCCCATGGCGTAACCGCCGGGGGACAAGGGGAAAATGATTATCTTTGGAAAATCTTTCTCACCCCTTTATATCTCCTGAAAGTGCCTAAAAATTTCAAATTTCGCGCGCTTCGCGCTCATTTCTTGTTAAAATGGTCCAATTTCCTCTAAAAAATGCACATTTTAAGGTGTTTTGATTAATTCCGACGAAATTAGAATTAAAAACACCGGAGGACAAGGGGAAATATCCATCTTTGGAAAATCTTTCCCCACCCCTTGATAAATGCATCCTCTAAAAGTGTAAAATTCTCAAATTCTTCGCGCGCATTAATTTTCGTGTTACGGTAGGCCAATTTCCTCTATAAAATTGCACATTTTATGGAGTTTTCATCAATTCCGAGGAAATTAGAATTAAAAACCTTGATGGAAAAAAATTGATGCAATTTGCTATTTTAGACCTAATCAATGAATTCCTCATCAACCGATAAACCTTAAACATTCTTGGAATGGACATAAGATTACTGATGT